ATACACACATATAATTATATATATATATATATCCATTTATAGGTTTGCATATGGATGTATAGATGGTTGTCTGGATGGACGAATTGATGTGGGTTCTAAATAGAAGCCTATTTCACAATTACTACTAGTAGCTATTACTATTAGCATTAGCCACTATTACGGCTTGCATTAGTATTCATATTACTGATACTATACCCATACTCGCTGTCGTCCTATAAGAAGAACCTCATACTGTTAGTATTCTTATACCGCTTTGTCGTTTTCTTCGTTCTTATATCATTTCATTCATTCAGTTACAAATAAATATGGATGGATACATAATATAGCCGAATGCATGCGCGCACAGACTGACGATCGTCCCGTCCACAAACACTGCTCATATTGTTCAGTTGTCCTAAACAAGCTTTTTACCAAATTTTTATTCCACTTTTGTCTTATCCATATGCATATGCATATATGATGCATCGACAAATATGTACATTCTTATTTTAATCTAATCTTATCTTATACTTATTGCAGTTGCAGCCTACTCATTTAATTTATTTACTTTCAAGCACCATCAATATTAATGTATTTCATTATGTACCATTACAACTCGACTGGATGACAGCAATAATAATACTCGTTTACCAAAAATGCATATACTTTACATTGATGCACTTACATAAAGTTGAATGCACAAATTTTTCTCCAGTGTGAATATTAATCCATTTAGATACAAGGTAAAGTATAGATAGACCCGAATACAGATTTTCATGGGCATACATGTATTCACTAGGACTGAGAACCGACCAATTTTTTAAAATGACCACCAGACGAACATCCGTGATCATCGAAATTCGGTTGCCGCAGACAAGGCAGATTTTGAGTACCGTTCAGCTTCGGTGAGCGGTCAGCAAAATTCGATCTCCCGAGATCACCGACCGATTAGTCGTTTTCGACTTCCATCGGCAGCCACAGGAATTCGATGTTCGACGGAAATTTTAAGGCAACCGTGTCCATACTTAATTCTAATAGTTATGTTCCAATATCCTTCCGAATCTCAGTTTCATGCGTTCAGTATTTATTGTTACCACCCTTATGCAACATCGTTCAAAACATCCAAACTCATCCCTTCCACCTAACTTATGAGCTTAAGTTTCAGGCATATGATCGTAACTCTCTTCACTCGCTCTGCTTACTCTTCCTCGCCGGTAAATGTCACACAATAACACACAGCAAGAATCGAGCACATCATTCGGCCACACTTCTGCGTCACGTTCGTACGTCTTATCATAAATCATGTAACCAATGAAAGCAACAGTCTTTGCGCTTTGCAGTCCGCTTTGTTCAACTTCATTTTCACCTCACACTCCCTTTGACAATACTTCCGAGCTCCTCCTTTCATTCGTCCTGCGCTATCTCCATTCCACATTATCCGGCAGTCTTATGAAGGGTTAGGTCGAGGAGTGAAATCAAGTTTGGGGACTCCAAGACTAGAGGTGGTATAGTCCAGGGCCCCTGAAACCTCATGAATGCTCAGTGGTTCTCGACCAGACCCTAATCTGAGGTTAAGGCGTATTCTATTCTCAACAACTGAAACATCAACTACTATCTGTAAACACAATGCAGGTAGTATAAATATAAAAGACTGCTACTACATATTCACAAATATGTACGCATATACGATTTCTGAGTTGTCAGTGAATAATTTCATTAAATTAACTTAAGACTCTCTAAACTGTCATCTAAAATTTAATATTGGTTTCAAATCTTCAATAATGATAATAATAACAACAGCAACATCATCAACAACAGCATCAAGAACGATACCATTAATAACAACACTATTCTGTCATTCATAACTATAACAAATATCTACCCATCCATTTAAGTGATCATTACCATATTCCTACACAAACACATAAATGTCATATCCGCTAATCCATATACATATATTAAACTCCATAACAATTTTGATTAAACTCAAATAGAACGAACGATCAAATATAAACAATAATCAAATTGCTCCTCCATATTTATTTGTAAATATCCACCTAATCGACTTCTGCTGCACTCAGTTCTTTTCAAAATGGAATTAAAATCAGTAAAATACTAACTATAATTTCTCGTTATCTGCTGATAACAAATACACTGTCATATTATTTACATGAATACTATTATAATTAATATATGGAGCAGATGTCGAATATGAATAGAAACAATCAGTAATTTTAATAGTAGTGTTAATAATAAGGCTAACAATAATAATAATAATAATAATAATAATAATAATAATAACCACTTACTCGTGATAACCAACTGGTTGTATGTTGATTATTACTATTACTTAGATTATTGATGGTGGATAACGACGAATCATTGAGTAGATACTGCATACTTGCAGCACAACTCGCGACGGTGTTATTGTGTGGTGATGATGATGAGAGTGAGAAAGACGACTTGTTGGGATTATTGTAGCGATACGCTTTATTCTTACTGTTATTAGGTGCATTGTGATAATAGTTACTATAACTAGTTGTTGCGTACTTGGAATCACTGAGACTGCGGTGGATACGATGTGCTTTACTGATATTGGTTGCAGTTGGATTGTCTCTAGTGCTACTTGTATGGTTAGTGTTCATTGAAGCATTTTTATTAGTAGTGTTCTCCACAGATGGTGATATAGAAGTAGACGTGGGCAGAGCAATAGTGTTCGCATTCGATGAAGAATTGGCTGCAGTGGAACTGATCGATGAATTACGGAGACGATAGGGTGGAGGGGGTGGCAGATGTGAACAACACGAATCACTGCTCGTCGTCAACGTTGACGAGAATCCAGAATCACTGCAGTGCGTTATGTAGGGCAGAATCATACGTGATGAGGCGCCAACCGATGAACACGTCGCACTTCTTTAATTATCACCGTTGCATTATAACGATATGATACGACCATTCTCCCTTATATTTTTTCCTCGTCATTTTATAACAGTGGTTCTCATCCTCTTGCATTCCATGCCCCTGTAGCGAATCGCCATTCTCTTCTCAATAATTCACGTAACCGCAATTCCTTTCTTTCTGTTATTAAGCAGCAATAAATCAACAAATTGATGCATTGATCAAGAAGTTTGCTGCTAACAATTCATCGCTTGTGTCCAACCAATGAATTTCTTGTGATTATATAAGTATTCAGAAAACACTAGTGAACAACTATGGCTGAATTATGCAAAAAAATCAATCAATCAACACTGATTTAGTAATTCCCCACTTGCCATCCTCTGATCTTCTTATCGAGAGAACCACTGTTCTAAAACCTCTTCTCCTCACATCGTTTCCAAATCTAACAGTATTGTCACAAAGACTGATAATAACGATGTTTATTACTACTATCATTATCACAGTCACTACTGACTATTGTTGTCATTACTAATGATACCGATACATTTTAAGAATGTTCTCAATTGAAGCTTCATCAACTCTGAATAAAAAACCAAATTTCATTCACGGATTGCATCAAAAAGCAAAAGTTTCATTCCGTTACTATTATCAAATAAAGTCTTATTCAGCAAAGAGGATACGTATGTCTATATGCAAATGAAAATCACAATATTTGTACCTTGCCGACGACCTATTATACTCTTTGAAAATGCTGCTTCCAATACTGTTGCTGTCTAGAGCGGTGATTGAGCTGAGCGGTCGAGATGCGGCAAATGAATGATTCGTATCAAACGAATTGGTTGCACGCATCGACAGTGAACCACCATAGTTGGGAGCAGGTGATACGAATCTATCAAAACGAAGCTCATTCAACCGTTGGTCGTTATTGATGTCTGGATATGAAGACATTACTTGTAATTTTGTCAAGACCGTAGATGATTTTCGTTTTGGGACGCTCTTTAGGTGTCAGATTGTTTCAAGCGTACAGAATCGAATTAGATTAGACAGCCAGATGGCAAAGCGCAATGGAATGCAATCTCGGAATAGCAGGTTCAGTTGCAGTAATTCTCAATAATAATAATAATAATAACGTCTCGGTCACAGTGATAATAAATCAGTGTTCAGATGAATGGATGATCATCTTCAAATAAGAAATAGTTATGAAAATTTATGGAATCCAGTAAAGAATAAGACCTGATATGATGAAGTAAAAACAGGGTAGAGTATAATCACTAACTGAGGTTGACAGTAACAATAAGCAACAAACAAAATCGGATGAATTAATTCGATTCACGAGAATTCGAACAACAACAACTCAGTGCAGCACCTGGCCTGGCCTGGCTTCACCTCACCTCACCCCACTTACCTCTAAACAGTTTAAACTTTTAAAACTAAAACTTAATCAACTACTATATCTCCATCTCATCGCATTCCATTCCATGTCTAATCTTATATCCATCTCCTCATCCAAAATATTTCTTCTTCACAGTCTCACTAACTTTATACTGCTGTTACAGTTACTGCTGCTGCTCTTGCTAATGGACCATAAGACATACACTTCGAGCACCACTGCACTTCTAATTGGTATTTGCTTTTAGTAGTAGCGTTAGTAGCCTTAGGCTATAAGAAGAGAAGATGAAGCTGAAGAAGAACGAGATAGAAACGCTTGCTATAATATTTATTACCGCTATTCAATCGAAATGAGACGCATGTTAAGAAAAGATTTCGGATGATCAGATAAATATTATAGACAGACAGATAGATGGATGGATGCATATATTATGTCAGGTATAAAGGACGGACGGGTGGTTGCATTAACGGAGGATAGATGCATCTACATTACTGTTTTTGAGATAAATACTTTTCTAAACCTCGTTAGAAAGATTAAATGAAAAGAAGCGATGACTGATCACAATATCCAACTGTTTGTTTCGAATTCATTATCATCACAATAAGCAACTGCTTATTCTTCTTGTTGTCGTATCAGAACATACATTCCAATCTTGAGCAGCAATCTCCTAACATCAACTGCAAAAGCAGTGAAATTCTGGCGAACCTCACTCCCTCTTAGAAGATATGTATATAAGATTCTTATGTCATTTTAAAGCTTCAACTCTATTGCAGCCTTAGGCTATTGGCTAGCTGATTCGTAAGAAGTTGTAAAATATTTATCGTAAGTTGTTGTTGTTCAAGATCGCATGAAAATCGAACTGTTTTGTTAGTGGAATGGAATGTACGGAATGTTGACTACGAAATGTATAATATAATGATAGCTGGTATAGCTTTGTATTCATTCGAGAAGGTGCAGCATCTAACTGCTTTATGATGATGTCAGTGAATGAATGAAAAGGTAGTCCGCATCGAAGACGGGGGACCTTGGTACTACCTTAAATAATAACAATAAAATGTCCTAGTCAACATTCCTAAAACAACAATCCATAAATGAATATTGACTCAATCGTAGTGTGTTCATAAAGTCATTATAGGAATTCAAATACTCATTCCCACTCAAATCTCCTCATAAATATTAAAATTTTGTAACGAATGATCTACTGATCGAGATATTTAAGTTATATTTCATTCGCTTAACTGATTTCTTGAAATAGAGAGTAATGGTGGAATGGAAATGTGATTTCCGAAGAGCACATCCAAACCAACGTCTATAAATAATAATAATTTAACTGTTGCTTTTATGACAAAATTAGAATCAATCACCTTGACTGAGAGAAAGAGAGAGTTAAAATGGATAAAGCGAAAAGAAATCCTCCTCAAAAAGACACAATTAGAAACGTTTGTCGAGAAAATTCTGACATAGATGATACATCAAATTTATTTTGCCACAAGAACCAGTTGTCCGCATAGATTGATTCTGTATCTCTGTCGAAAATTAAATTTTTGTAGCTACCGATCTTTTCAGTGAAGTATTGGTGTCTACATGAATAGACCCTTCGCAAAAGTTTTGTTCCGAGCAAGATTCCGGTCAGAATAAAACCTTGAAATTTCGTATTGATATTAGTCAATGTTTCGATCAGTGGATCTTTTGTTGCAAAAAAAACGACCGAAAAGGCTGATCGATCGATGGCTTTATAAAACCGAATTTTATTCAGCACCGATTGAGGACCGCAAACACGCTGTTTGGTGGCTAACAAATCGAACGTCCGTCGGTGACCACTGATAAACAAGTACACAGTGCTACTTTGAACTGTTGTTCATTGGGTCGATGGCCATTGGAGACCGACCGACCGAACCCGAAAGAAATTGGTCCGTTAGTGGCCTCGAAATACCGAATTTCGGTGACCACTGATCAAAATCAGTTAATGCTCAAAACTTGTCTTGTCGATGGCTACCGAATTTCGGTGGCTTAAGATGTAGTGTTCAAAAATCTATCGCTTCCCAACTCTATCTGATATTTTACAATGATTTGTCGAACACTTTGAAATGTATTCAATTCCAAATCCATCCGTCCATTTGTCAAAATGTGGAAATATCATTCGTAAATTACTAGTGCTAGCAAGAATATGTCTCTCTCTCATTTCATGATTCACTAGCATCGAATTACATCAAACCACAATACTAGTCCCCTTATAATCATGAACTACAAACATAAGTTGTGGCCATTGTATGTTTGTTTGTGTACGTTTATGTTTAAAATTTGTTTGATGTGCCGATTGTGATGTGATGTGCAGAGAGGCGAAGATAATATAGAACGAATAAAATAGGCTATTAGATAGCCAGGTAAAAGAGATGGATTGTTGGGTGGATAAGATGAACAGATAAACGAGGATCAGTAGGAATCGAACAAAATGAACGAATCAATGAATAGATATTAGCTTGAGCTAGAGTTTAAACTTAACAGTGAGCAATTTTAGTTCACTCCACTTGTAGTCATTGTCGATATTGGCGGCAGTAGCAGTATCCGATATACATACTCTGATATCTGTAGGATATCGCGAGTATATGCTTAAAGAGCTGCGATGGAACGTTGCTGAGAATGCAACTAGAAAATAAAATACATTTCTGATACACATTTATTTATACACATACGTATGCATTCTTCATTCGGTCACTAACATCACCTATGCGGCAAAATAATTGCTTGCAAAAAATGGAAGAACTGAAACTGAAGAAGTTATGGTTGTGCGTATGAGGTAAATAAGCGATGAACATTTCTGAAGAGAACAACTAACAACAATATTTTAATTGCTTATATCATATCGTTTTGTTAAAAATAAATTCCTTCATAAATTCCATTCATTTGGTCCACTTTAGAGTGAAACAAAAAAGTTTCAATTCAGTGAATCCATTGATTCTTCTCATTTCATCCTTTACGCACTATACCTGTCTTTTGTCTTCTTAAAAACTTCAAAAATTCATCATTCGACCACCCAATTTAAAAATTCTATTGTTTTCAATGATGTTTATGTACATACATATACAGTGCAGATATACCATCAATCATAATTTCCTCTATTTTTATTTTTTGTTCAACAAAAATTAGAACAAGACAAGCAAGAAACGAGCAAAATTAGTTTCATTATCTGAAATCATGAAGAGGTGTTACTATTATTACTACTGCTGCTGTTGCTGAATTAACCGACTGATTGATTTCTAACTACAAAAAGCTTTCATTCTCCTGTTTACGTATAAACTCATCATAAATTCATTTAAGTCAGCTATATCATCGATTACATAAATTTATGCAGCTGTGTTCATTATCGTCATCGAAAACCCAATTAATGATGAAGAAAGGAGAATAATATTACATGCGCACTTATGTACATACAGACGACAGTTGTTTGCATTGCGCATGCATTCATTCGTGATATTATAATACAGCCGTCAGTCATCATTCGCAAATTAAACGCGTATTAATTTATCTAACACATTACAATAGTGCGACAGCATAATGTGATGATTAGATAAATGATGCGATTAGAGAAGATAACGGCCGTTATGTGGCAGTTCTGTTTTGGACGGTACTGATTCAAATATTTTGGTTGGCTGCTTATTAGCCATATCATCCCTCATACATCACCTCGAGAATCTCATTGCATTTTATGAACACGCTTTGCTTCAGATTAATACTTTTCACTACATCATTCATATCATCGGTCCAAGTGAAACATTCAACAAGCACGATAATCATTTCCGGCATTCAGCATCCATTCATTCGCAACAATAAAGACCAAAGATGCTTTCTTCATATATTTATGATACAAGTACAATGCACATCAAAAAATACGACCAAATTCAAAAACAAATAAGGACCACGAAATAAATGAATACGCAAATTGATATGTACGTATGATAAGAAAAGAATATTAGGATTTTTGGTCGGAAATCATTTTCAAAACGAAAATGACTTACCATTTGACTACCATCTGTACCACACAACCAGTGCATAATCTTCAGTTGTGTCTCCAATCCTGGCCGCTCAACTATTTCGTTTTTGTCGATCGCCTGCAATAAAGCATAACGATATTAATATCAATATCAATAATAATAATAATAATAATATTAACAATAATAATAAAAATAACGACACTATTTGTTTGGAAACAAAAGTAATAATTTCACGATGCTAGCAATAATAATGTAGCGACAATAATAATAATTCTGCTATAGCAATGACGATGGCACGAACCCTGAGAAAAGCTTCAAAAATATTCGGTGTTGTATTAGAGATACTGGATGATTCGGGAATATCAGATGGAGGTGACTGTGATTCTCCATTAATGCTACTGCTGTTACTGCTACCACCACTGCTACTACTTATCGATTCCATATTCTTTTCATTTCTCCTTCTTCGGTTTCGTCTCGGTCTATTCATCGATATCACATCGTTATCATCCACTTCATTTGCCAAACGTTCATTCTCTCTCCAATTATCAACTGTCGAATTCCAGTTCAAAACCTTAATCACCTATTCTTTTTCGAACTACATTATCAATGATCGTAATAATTTCTTTATCTGTTAATAATAATTCTGTTAATAACAACTGCGAATATCATAATATTAGTAATAACATTCCAGAATATGTTTCAATTGAACTAATTTATACAATGTGTTTCTTGAAAGATAAATAAACAAACCTTTGAATTAACATTATTATTATAATTAGTATTGTTATCACCATTATTATTATCACTGTTATTATTATCATTATTATTACTATTATTATCATCAGCAGTATTCAGATGAGAATCATTATTGTTCGAAGAACTCTTCCTATCATTATTATTATTGTTATCATTATCACTGTTTAACTTGGTTACTTCATAACTATCTTTCCTCCTTTCATCCATATTGTTCTGATTATGCAAATCTCGCCCAGTGTCAGAACGGCTTCCTGCAATATTACATAATGGTTTTGTGATAACAAGATGACAGCTGTAATGATGATAATAATAATAATTAACAACAATGATAACAATAATAATAATAATAACAATAATGGTAATAAAAACAAGAAAATTAGGATGCAGAAGGCAAGCTCGAGCAATTTGAAAACGGAATCTTTTCGCTCAAAGTACAACTACTACAATATTCGAGCCGTTTGGCTTCAGTTCACTCGATCAAAATGGAAAGTGTTTGAATTACTCATGACTACTCATGAGCAATTAAATATGAAGCTAAGTCAAACAAATGGATGCTCTTGTCGATTACTGCTCACAAATTTGAGATCACTTTGATCGATTAATATATAAAACATTTGCAAAAGAAGAATGCTGATAAATCAATACTTCATTAACAAATACTGAACACAACTGATGAACACTACACTTCCCACATCATGCATCATGCAATTCCTTACATTTCAATACAAAATGTTTTATATGTAATGTTGCTGTGTGTACTCGCCCTCTACGTTGTGCTATTATTATTGTTGTTGTTAAAGTGATTGTATACATAATAAATATATTATGAAGAGAACACACACTGATGATGAATGCATAAAAAGAAATATTTATGTATAACAGGTATAGATTTATTCATTTACTGAAATATAAGTATATCATATATCTATACATATAATATCAAACTGGAATGTAAGCTGCTGTTGAAATTGATAACTTGCATATATACAAACCATCACTAACAATACTGTTATCGCTACCCATTCTAATTATTAATATATCCAAATGCATACTGATTATTACTTTTAACTTATCTCATTCATATCATAATACCGATAATAATATAACAGTAAAAATAACAATAACAATAATAATGGTAATAATAATAAAACGAGACAAACCCGAAGCAATGATGTCATCTAGTTGCTCAAGTGCTGAACATAACAACTGATTCGCTTCTGCAAAGCCATCCACTTCCATCTCCGAATTAATCATATTTTCAGATAGCAATCAACAACTACATAAACATATATTAATGAATTATACTTCAGATAATAATCGCCACAATACAAATTAACTACACAAATCTGAAAGTATTCAACAAGGTTTCGACATTTTTCAGTTGAACATCTGAAAAATGTCGAAAATGAGATCGAAATAGTGTGGAATACTGCGGCTGAGTGGAAAAGTATTCGGCACGTAAGACTATGGTGAAATATTAGCCTGAATCTAGGCTGACGCTAAACCTGAGCTGAGCTGAATTCATTTCGAACACTTTAAATTTTTGATCTTTTCTTTTTCGCCCTTTAGAGTTCATGTGAAAATGAAATGATCTCATCTCATTTGGTCATATGTTACAGGTAATTTCTCGTCTACTAACTGCAACAATAATTATTATAAGTTAACACATGTGATATTATGGATACGTTATAACATTTCTATACACATATACAGATGTGGGCAATTAGCCTATTGTTTCGTTAGATACAGTAATATTACAGTGTGTGCTTTCACATCGCAACGGTCAAATAATACGTGTAAAAGAAAATGTTTCTAAAATATCGATCTTGATGATTCACCTCTAAGCAATGCGTGGTTGAATTCAACGATCTTTAAAAAACGATTTCATGGACAATTCGTATTGGAAATATTTGAAATTATATCAAATATTATTTGAAATTATCAGAATCTGTGACAAATATTAATATCAAAAACGAAAATTATCAGAAATGAAATTGCCGCATGGAGTTATATTAAGAACGGATAATTGCTTAGTTTATCTTGAAGCGGATGAAATTATAATTAAAAGTAATAGCATAAAGGTAATTTTCCGTCTACTAACTGCAATTTTTTCGATATAACCAACAGATCAGAGCATCAGAGTTCACCTCAACTAACTTTTCTGAAAATGACTCCGTGAATCAGTAATGCTATCTGATGATCGTATCGTATTTGATCATTCCTAGAGTGTGAAATTCACGATGGTTACATTCAGAGGATTGCTGGATAGTTCATATTCAAGCGGCTTAGGTAAGAATGCAGTGCGAACAACTGTAACTGAAGAACAATTGAGCTGTATCACAGAAATATGCGCAGTTTTCTAACTTAGATTCGAAAGTAAACAACGAAAGTGATTCGGATGAGTAACTGTTCCAAATGCACAATGAAAATTTCGTTTCATCAGAATCCTATGTAATCCATTTTTGCACTTCTAAAATTCGGTTACATTGAAAAAAGTTCAAATTCGTCGCTCGGAATCCACTTTTGCGATACCAAACGTCAGTAACCATCGAAAAACGAAAATTTCAATTGGTTGCCATCACATTCGTTGGTTACAGCAGCTTTTGAAAAATGTGTCGCACAGTATCTCGATGAGAATGAATTTAATGAGAGTGAATTGCATACAGTTGAGTTGAATTCTGAGAGCGAGATTATTGCTTAAAAACGTGACAACATTAAAGCAAACGAAGATTGAGGATTCTTTCATCTTGAAAGCTATTTTCCATTTGGGTGGTTGGTTAAGGAAAGCGGGCTGCATGTGAATCGGATCTTCGTTTTACACCCTCGACAACGTGTTATGCACGATTGACATTCCTAATGCTCGACCGAACAAATCATTTTCTTTATCCGAACACACTCAAAAACCATACGGTTTCCATATGAGGCAATAAACTCTACTGTGCATCATGCCATAGTTAAAAGATGTACTGGTTTTTTGTATGTATTTGTGCATAGGAAACCGACGCTTTAGCCTACAATACAGATGCAAATAATAAATAAATGTATACATATTATAATAATGTTACAATAATAATAGTAATGATAATGAATTT